CTTTAATTGAGTAATGGCGTTCAGTAAGGTCACAGCTAAATAGCGCTGTTCGACCAAAGAGGATATTCAAAACATAGCACGACCTCGAGACCATTTGCATTCATAAAACACTATATTACATTTTTTTTAAATGTATTATATTTGTTTAATTTTGTACAATAAACACTTTTGTTTTTGCTCGAACATCCTTGACGCAATAAATCTGGCAAAAAAAAAAATCGCGTAGCCATAGCAACAGTAGACCACTTGAACAATGAATTGTTCAAGTGGTCTACTGTTGCTATGGTTACGCTATTTTTTACACTGTCAATGATGTACACATCACAAGTCCCAGCTAACAAAAATATGTTCTAGGAACGATTTACATCGCCATTTACGTTATTTCTGAATGTTCTCTGAACGTTCAAAACGCTGTTTTTTAAAGTGTTACGTGAACGTTAAGAACATTCCATTTTGTATATTTGGAATGTTACTTTTGAAAGTTGTCTGAACGTTCTGAAACAAGTAGTTACATTTAAAAAATAATGTTAGAGGAAGATTTATACAGCTAACACGTTTCAGGGAAAAAAAAAACATTGCATGAAAGACGTATAAATAATGTGTTTGTGCTAACGTCCTGAGAACATTAGAACACCAGATAACTTCAAACAAACATTCTGTTATTGATACTGAAGGAACGTTTGTTCATAACTTTGCTCTGAACATTAGCCAAAGTTCCAAGAACGTTCCCTGTTAGCTGGGGTCATACAAATGTGAGTGTTTTGTCCTGAAGATCAAACCTCAAGACTGAACATTGAAAATTACCCGCAGAAATTCCTTTCAAAAAGGTGACCACCCCTGAAAGTCACTGTAGCTATAAATCAAACCATTATTTTATATTTCCCAATCTAATTCATATACACATTTTCATAAATATTATATATATATATATATATATATATATATATATATTCCTCCGATGAGAAGTGTTTGATTCATTCTGGAGAAATCAGAGAGGATTATTTTACCTGAATCACAGGAGCTGATTCAATGTTCCCCGTCTGTTTGTGTGTTACAGCCACAAGTTTGCCAAAAGAGACTTGGATCAGGTAGCCGATAGCTTTCACACTCCATTTTCCAAAATACAGCAGATCTATGAATCCTGCAACACTGGCTGCAGAATGAACGCTCAGAGCCAAGGGGAAGTTGTTGCTCTGGGCTCAGCGTGGAGTTTGCCAGGTCAGGCCGAGCACTTCACACTGAGAAGGCCTAATCCAACCCTAGGGAGCGGGTGACTGTGTGGTCTGACAGAACCATTGGCTGTGTGTACTGAAAAGACTTTACAGATTAGAAATAGTGTCATTTCTTGCCATTGATAAGAATGTTAATACCTTTATCCTGACTTTTATTTTGGCTTATTCATATGCATTAGGTTAAAATCCAGTAAGATAATTTAGTAAATGTAGTAAATGAATTATTATTAAGTGTCAGAATGCAATTATTTTCACAGCATCAATACAATAATATATGTCATATATGTCAATGATTTTTTTACCATGTTTAATCTGAAGTGTAAGAAGCTGAAGTGCCTTTGTGCGACGTGCAGTAGCGATGTTTCTACCACTAGATGGCGCAGGAGCCTCTTCTAACTCCAGCGTCACGCTGATTGGCTGATGGCTCCTGAACCTGAGCTGTGACGTCGAAGACAGCAGACAGGACAAATACAATTAATTTTACCGTCAAACATTTTTATGAAGAAATGTAAAACTAATATTTATACGAGACGTTCTTTTTTCTTTCTTTCATTTTTTGAGCCTTATATCCATAAATGTAAGTTCACCAACAACAAAACACATTTTCTTGTCTTATTGGAAGAATTTAAAAAGTATTTCAACACCATTTTATCTTCAGTAAATACAGCAAGTAGAACTAGCTTGCAATTCACTCTCATTGATGCATAATTTCTTTCCCTCAAGAATTCTTTTAACTTTCTATCTCCACGTCTTTCTGATTTTCTTTTTGCCTGTTTAGTAAATGATTAACTCTCATTGTATATTGTTAACTGTAATTATTGTATTATAAACATCAACTTTTTTGCATAAAAAATCGATTTCTATACATTTAAGCAGTGTTGGGCAGTAACTAGTTACTAGTAACTAGTTGCAGTAATAATATTACTTTTTGCAGTAAATATTAGTGTAACTACTAATAAGATTTCAGTAATAATATTACAGCTACCATGCATAAAACAGCTCGTTACTTAGTAACTTTTGATGCCTCAACCCCTACTGATTTGAAATCCAACAATCCAATAATTCCTAGATTTATTTCTATAATTTTCACGACTCGCACAGGCACATGAAGTCACCAGTGCATCAGGAAATCTTGGAATATGGAAAAGCATACATTCAGGGGATGGAAATATTATTTTGTTACTTTACTCTGGCATTACATGGCTTGCCCACCATATATATATATAAACATAAACTATATTTCCCATAATTGCACGACTTGCTCAGTGGTTTTCCAGCTTGCCCTGTGGAACACCAATGGCTCTTTGTTCCTCCGATGAGAAGTTTTTTTTTTGTTTTTTTTTTTCCTCCGATGAGAAGTGTTTGATTCATTCTGGAGAAATCAGAGAGGATTATTTTACCTGAATCACAGGAGCTGATTCAATGTTCCCCGTCTGTTTGTGTGTTACAGCCACAAGTTTGCCAAAAGAGACTTGGATCAGGTAGCCGATAGCTTTCACACTCCATTTTCCAAAATACAGCAGATCTATGAATCCTGCAACACTGGCTGCAGAATGAACGCTCAGAGCCAAGGGGAAGTTGTTGCTCTGGGCTCAGCGTGGAGTTTGCCAGGTCAGGCCGAGCACTTCACACTGAGAAGGCCTAATCCAACCCTAGGGAGCGGGTGACTGTGTGGTCTGACAGAACCATTGGCTGTGTGTACTGAAAAGACTTTACAGATTAGAAATAGTGTCATTTCTTGCCATTGATAAGAATGTTAATACCTTTATCCTGACTTTTATTTTGGCTTATTCATATGCATTAGGTTAAAATCCAGTAAGATAATTTAGTAAATGAAGCAATATCATTATTATTAAGTGTCAGAATGCAATTATTTTCACAGCATCAATACAATAATATATGTCAATGCATCATATGATTTTTTTACCATGTTTAATCTGAAGTGTAAGAAGCTGAAGTGCCTTTGTGCGACGTGCAGTAGCGATGTTTCTACCACTAGATGGCGCAGGAGCCTCTTCTAACTCCAGCGTCACGCTGATTGGCTGATGGCTCCTGAACCTGAGCTGTGACGTCGAAGACAGCAGACAGGACAAATACAATTAATTTTACCGTCAAACATTTTTATGAAGAAATGTAAAACTAATATTTATACGAGACGTTCTTTTTTCTTTCTTTCATTTTTTGAGCCTTATATCCATAAATGTAAGTTCACCAACAACAAAACACATTTTCTTGTCTTATTGGAAGAATTTAAAAAGTATTTCAACACCATTTTATCTTCAGTAAATACAGCAAGTAGAACTAGCTTGCAATTCACTCTCATTGATGCATAATTTCTTTCCCTCAAGAATTCTTTTAACTTTCTATCTCCACGTCTTTCTGATTTTCTTTTTGCCTGTTTAGTAAATGATTAACTCTCATTGTATATTGTTAACTGTAATTATTGTATTATAAACATCAACTTTTTTGCATAAAAAATCGATTTCTATACATTTAAGCAGTGTTGGGCAGTAACTAGTTACTAGTAACTAGTTGCAGTAATAATATTACTTTTTGCAGTAAATATTAGTGTAACTACTAATAAGATTTCAGTAATAATATTACAGCTACCATGCATAAAACAGCTCGTTACTTAGTAACTTTTGATGCCTCAACCCCTACTGATTTGAAATCCAACAATCCAATAATTCCTAGATTTATTTCTATAATTTTCACGACTCGCACAGGCACATGAAGTCACCAGTGCATCAGGAAATCTTGGAATATGGAAAAGCATACATTCAGGGGATGGAAATATTATTTTGTTACTTTACTCTGGCATTACATGGCTTGCCCACCCACATCCCTATATAAATTATATTACTTATTAACTTATGTGATTTATTTTGATAAAATACGTCATGAAATATAATCATATTTGGGTAACAGAGAAATTATAGCTACAATTAGCTTCAAGCTACACATGACACTTTGACTTAAAAGTCACTATCAGTCACCATTGAGTGTTTGTAATAACTTCTGACTGCGATCCAATGTAGATTTTGGTCAAATGATGAGGCAGAAATATATTGTAACATTTTAGAAGAATTTTATGGGGAAGAAACACAATTACAACTTCTGTGGGGCGTGAAGGAAAAGTAATGTAACCAGTAGTTTAACTAATTACTGTTGCCAGAAAGTAATATGTAAAGTAATAATATTACTTTTAAAAGGAGTAACTAGTAACAAGTAATAAATTACATTTTTGGAGTAACGAGCCCAACACTGCATTTAAGACCCTGCAAAATAAGAATCGATTACTGGCACAACATCTAGTATAATAATAAATGTAAATAAAATAATAAATAAATATATAATAAAACATATTATGAAATAATAATAAAATATTGGCAATGCATTTATTGCTTCATCAAAAAACGTATTTTGTAGTATGTATAATAATAATACAAATAAAAATATAATAAAATGATCAAATATTAGCAATTCAAATATTTGTGATACATTTGTTGCTTCACCAAAAAACATATTTTGTAATTTAATAATAAAATATTAACAAAAAATAAATCTATAATAAAATAAAATATTAGCAATGCATTTGTTGCTTCATTTAAAAACATGGCTATTTTGAATGTGGCTGTTAATGAACTTGCTAAACCTTAGGACTTTAAACCTTTAGGACTACAACTGATTTTTTTTCCTAATAGAATTGAATTAAAAGCAAATTTATATGAGCACCAGAAGAACAAAAATAACTTCAAATCAGTTTCAAAGGATAACACACGCTCTTTATTCCAAATATCAGAGTGTTTCTGACTGACTGATTCTGCTGTCAGGTCAAATACACAGTTACATGTCTGTTTCTTACAAACCCTTGTTGTGGAGAAAAGCCCAGAGTCTTCCGAGTTTCTTTCACGTTAGACTGATTTAAGTTTAAGTTTTCCACATTTAAGAACATGGCTGATAAATACAATATAGCAAATCTACGAAAAAACACATTCTGTCGTTTGACGTTCAGGTTTGTCCTGATACATGAAGAAAAACCACTGTTTGTCCACCTTAGGCTCGTCCGGTAGGTGACCATCACTCCCATACTAACAAACACTAACACAAACACAAGGGGCTAAAATGAGATGAAGAAAAACCAAAGAACGTTCTCATGCATTTCGTCCTGCTATCACAGTTCTCATTATACAAAAGAATAAATTCAAATGTCACGACATTCAGATTTGCCGTTCCGGCAGATTCTCTGCTTGTGCCTCTGAGCAGTGCTTCTAGAGAGTCGCTTGCCCTGTGTGTCGGCACGACCCGAGCAGAAGAAGTGCAGGAGTTTGGGCTGCGTTCAGGAGGGAGCGCTGTGGCGTCTGTGGATCCGTGGCCCGTGGAGAGGCTCAGTCTTTGACTAGTCTGTAGATGTGATGCTGGGCTCCGTGCTCGCTGGTGGACACTTCAAACACGTATGCGATGCATAGCAAGGTTTCTAGAGTGTCTCTGTTGGTCACCACCTACGACACAGACACAACCAGACAAATTCATAGAGTGTTTGGTCAGTGAACAGCACGTCATGCAACGCTTTTCTGAGCGGAACAGCATCCACTTGATTTGTGACCCTGGAGCACAAAACCAGTCATAAGGGCCAATTTTTCGAAATTGAGATTTAGACATCATCTGAAAGCTGAATCGATAATCTTTCCATTGATGTATGGTTTGTTAGGATAGGACAATATTTGGCTGAGATACAACTATTTGCAAATCTGGAATCTGAGGGTGCAAAAAAATCTAAATATTGAGAAAATCATCTTTAAAGTTGTCCAAATGAAGTTCTTAGCAATGCATATTACTAATCAAAAATTAAGTTTTGATATATTTACAGTAGGAAATTTACAAAATATCTTCATGGAACATGATCTTTACTTAATATGCTAATGATTTTTGGTATTAAAAAAAAATCAATAATTTTGACCCATACAATGTATTGTTGGCTATTGCTATAAATATACCCCAGCGACTTAACACTGCTTTTGTGCTCCAGGGTCACATTTCATCCACTGGGAATAGATTGGATAGTGGAAAGTGTCTCGAATCAGAGAGAGCTTTTTATTTTGATGAAGCATTATGAAGACAAACAATGTCTTAATAATTTTCTTAGTAATAACTTTGAATGGATGAATCCATGAACTGTTCAAATAAGACACAAGAATGCGCGTTAAAAATTAATTGAGTTTTTTATTTTGATTTAACACAACTCACAAAACATTAAAACACAAAACAACACTTCAATTTGACTCCTACAAAACAGAAAATGTTGTGGTTTATGAAGCATATCTGACCCAGGGTAATATTTTAGTTTAGAATCATTCAAGAAACATGACAAATGTTGCCTCACTTTAAGCGCACACACGCACAAACACACACACACGCACACACACGCACAAACACACACTCACTCACTCACTCACACACACACACACACACTCATCTATCTATCTATCTATCTATCATCATATTATTATACATTATAGTGTATGACAAATGTTGGCTCACTTTAAACAATAATATACATACATTTTATTGTGCATAATATTCATTTTATTTCACATCTTTACATTTATCTATCTATGTACTGTTCTATTCATATATTATTTATTCTAGCCTATATAATTTATATATGAACTGCATTAATATAGATATCTGTAAAGTGATGTTCTATTCTGTGTGCGTCACTCTCGGTCATCATGGACTCAGTCGGGCCATTGAGCGTGTGTTTGTGTGAGAGGACCGTTGTGTCGGCTGAGAGGCTCATTGTCTCGGGCCGCGTCCCACACACCGTCGCCGTGACTACAGCCTCATCTTTCATTCCCTCAGCTGTCTTGAGTCTGTAATGACGGCTGACGTTAAACTGAATTAACTCACGCTCACTGCTGAGCTGGAGGAATCACTTCACAAGCAGGAGAAACATCTGACCGAAAAAAACACTGTTTTGTCTGGGGCTTTTCTAGATATTTAAGCTGAATTATTCTGTTTAATATATTTTTTGATGACAGTGGTTGATAATACCAAGTTAACAGTTTTATTTTAGTAACAATAACTGGACTAGGTGATGTAAAATATTAAATATTTTTCATTCATTGCTTAAAAGTTATTTTTAAAAGTGATTTTCAATCATTTAAATGATTTTGAATAGTTTTCTAACAAACTGAACAAAAGGGAGAATGGTATTTAATTATA